GTTTTAGTGAACATTTACAGAGATTTTGGGTTTTCATTCATTCATTGTTGCACTGTTTTCTCTACCCTCCTCCCCAGTTCGTTCTTCTTCCCCCCACCCCGAATGTCTGTTTTAATTGTCCAATTGCAGCATCTCGGGTTTTAAGAATGGAAAATGTATCTGCCTAAGTTTGACATACAAAAATTTGTTACGCTGTATGATAATCTAAGGTATATTAATGAAACAATAGTCACAAAGGAGTGGGTGGGCTTTAAGGGAATTTGCAAGCACCAATACTGTGTGGCAGAGTTATTATAATAATGATTATACTGCTAATTCTTTGGGAGCTGATTCTTCTCTGGTGGTTCGAATCTACCAGCTACCTTCAGGACAAAGATGTACAATCTCCTCCCATGAGATTTACAGTCTCTGAAAGCTCTCTGCAAGGTCCGCTATAAGTCATCTTTTGTTAAGCAATGTGCCTTGTTTTAAAGTCATTACTGCTGCTAAATGAGAAATGTGAGGAAAACATTCCTGGAATCTGAAGAGATTGGCTTCATGGTTATAAGGGTGAAACCAGAGAAGGTTTGTATCATGGCTATAACTTTCAGATGTATCCTGAGGACTTTAGTTAAGTACTTCTGATAGTCTTTTTTGTTTTTCCCATTGAAGTCACAGTTCTGGGGTTGACTGTACCACACTCCTACTGGCACAATATGATAACTCTTTCCTTGTTATATTACAAATAAATTTGACAACTATATACAGTTCTTTTGGAAAAATAGTTCATTACATTGTTTTTTTCTCTCTAGTATTCATAAATGTATATGGTACGAAATGTTTAAGTGCAGAACTTGTTCTCTTTGGTTTTTTTCCCCAGAGATGACTTTACTCTCAAGTGTGCTGTTCCTGGTGGCTGTGCTGCTTCCATCCTTCCCTGCAAATGGAATGGTATGATCACAGTTGGGAATATTTTCAAAATAACCCAGGCTGCTTTGTTGTTCTTGCTCTGTACTGTCAGGACTCTCTTGTAGCTGTTCCTCCAGGGGTTTTCAGAGTTAAATCTTTCTCTCACAGAACAACTGGTGGTGGTTTTGAATTGCATGCATTTGGGTTGGCAGTGCAGCTCCTTACCAAAGCTCCCAGTCACTTAAAGAGATGAAAAGCTACAGTGCATCCTTGCCATCTCCTGATCCAATAGGAAAATGAATTTATTAGTACAGTGTCATGTACTATTGTGTTTATGGCAACATTTATGTATCTGCTGCTGTTTTAGTTTTTATTATGTGCCACTGAATCGAGTATGCTTCCTAGTGACCCTGGGAAGAACGGACATGAACTCTGACCTATCCTGCACTGTCTTCATCATCTCTGGCTTAGTTGAGCCCATTGCTGCAGTCTGTATCAATTCATCTCGTCGAGGCTCTTCTCTTTTTCTGATGCTCCATCCATCTTCCCAAGCATGATGATGTCCTTTTTTAAAGAATAGAAAACAAACAAATTCATCCTGGAAAGGGTTAAACAGGGAAGCTCCCTGGAGGCAAGGATTCTGAGGCTCAGTCTAACATACTTTGGACATGTTGTAAGGAGAGGCTGGTCCTTGGAGAAGGACATCATGCTTGGGAGGGTGGAGGGAAAGCGCAGGATGGGAAGACCCTCTATGAGGTGGATTAATTCAGTGACTGGTGTAATAGGGCTGGGAGTGTCAGAGACAGTATGATTGGCACAGGACAGAGCAGAGTTTAGAGCTGTTGTACATAAGGTCGCTATGAGTCATAAGCCACTCGATGGCACATAACAACAACAGTCCTTCCTAACAATGTGCTTATGTGTAAAGACTTATTTTCATTAACACCCATAAATCGCACAGAACTTCAGCATGTCTTCCCTTTGTTTTGGCTTCTTGAGTCTCTTCTGACAACCATTTTGATATTTTCCTCCTCTTCTGTCTTTGTAGCAATCAGAACAAAGGAACACTGAATGGTTTTAAATTAGGAAATGTGCATATCAGGGTTGTATCTTTCCCTCATAACTATTCAAGCTGTATACTTTGCAGATCATTAGAGGAGCTGAATTCTATGAAGAATGTGGCATCAGGATGTAGGGAAGACTCAATAAAAACCTTTGTAATGCGGATAACACACCTTGCTTGCTGAAAGCCTGGAGAATTTGAAACCTTTACTACAGACGATCCAACACTAAAATTGCATCTCAACATCAAGAGGACAATGATCCTCACCATTGCTCCTATAGGCAACATCATGATAGATGGAGAAAAGATTGACAGTGTCAACAATTTCATCTTACTTGAGTTTACAATTAACACCCTTCATACTGTTGTTGCCGTAGTTGAGTACTGTAGAGTCAGAATCAACCCATAGTCAACCCTTTAGTGGATTTTCAGAGGCTGTTAGTTAATTTCATAGGAGGAAATTGTCCATCCTTCTCCCACGAAGCAGTTGGTGGATTTGAACCACTTGGCTTCAGGATTGCTGTGCAGTTTCTCACCACTAGGCTACTAGGCTTCCTAACAGTCAGGAAATCAGGAGACATATTGCATTAGAAAAGTCCACTGTCAGGGACTTCTCCAAATTACTGAAGAGAAATGATGTAATTGAAGACTAAGGTACACCTGACTCAAGTTATAGTCTTTTCAGTCACTTGCTAAGTATCAAAGAGCTGGACAATGAATGAGGGTGACCGAATAATTGATGACTTCAAGTTGTAGTATTGGAGAAGAGCACTGATTATTCCAAAGAATGGCAAAAGATCAAACAGTTTATGTCTTGGGAAAAGTACAGACAGAGTATCTCTTGAGAATGAAGCTTCTTATTGCTCTGGGCATGTTGCTGTTGATGTTATGTGCCATCGAGTCAGCTGCCATATGCACTATAACTCTGTACCCTGCCCTGTCTTAAGACAGTCTCACTGTCTGACACATATACCCCCTATTTTGAAGTCACTGTATTGATCCATCTCATTCTGGGTCATCCTCTCCTGCACTCCCCCTTCACCTTTCCAATCATAGTACCTTTTCAAGGACTAGTCCCTCTTAGCAACCTACCCAAAGTATATCAGAGGGGCTTTCAAAATCCTTGCCTCCAAGGAATAACTCCAGGACAGACCTGTTTGTGCTCTTGGTAGCCCACGGCATGTTTAATACTCTTCTCTCACACCACAGATCAAAGCATTGATTTTTCTCCTGTTATTCATAGCCATTGTCCAGTTTTCTGACGTGTAGCAAGTAATTACAAAGACAATGGCCTGAATCAGGCATACTTTAGTTTTTAGACTGACTGTGTTATTCTTTAACACTCTGGAGAGGTCTCTGACTGCAGATTTTCCCAGTGCAATTTGTCTTATTTCCTAACTGCTGATGGCAAAGGTTCTTGATTGTGGAAATTGTGGAACCAAGTAAGTGAAAATTGTTAGCAATCACTTCTCCGTCTATCATGGTGCTGTCAATTGGGGAAGTGAAAATCTTTGTTTTCTTGATATCGAGCTGCAATCCATATTGAAGACTACAGTCCTCAGCCTCATGGAGCAAATGTTTCAAGCTCTCTTCAGTTTCAGCAAGCAAGGTTTTGTCATTTGCATAGCACGGGTTATTGAAGAGCCTTCCTCCAATCCTGATCCCACATTCCTCCTCATAAAATCCAGCCTCCAAAATGATCTCTTCCTTATATAGATTAAAAAAGGTATGAAGAAAGATGCATCTCTGATGCACTCCTTTCTTGATTTTGAACCATGCCGTGTTTCCTTGCTCTGTTCTGATGACTGCATCCTGGTCTAAGTGTAGGTGTCGCATGAGCACAATCTGGGATTCCCATTCTTCTCAATATTAGCCACAAATTTTTTGACTCATACAGTCAAATGGCTCTGCATAGTCTCTAGAACACAGATCTCTGCTTTCAGCCAAGATCAGTCTGATACCGGTGATGATCTCCTTCGTGCCACCTCCTCTTCTAAACTTGGCTTCTATTTCTAATAGTTCTCTGTTGATGTACTGTTCTAGTTGGTTTTGGATAATCTACAAGAAGATTTTGCTTGCATGTGATATTAATGATATTGTTTGATAATTTCCATACACTTTCAGATCACATTTTGTTTTGTAATAGTTGTTGTTGTTGTTATGTGTCATCGAGTCGCCTGTGACTCATAGCGACCCTATGTACAACAGCCCTAAACTCCACTCTGTCCTGTGCCAATTGCACTGTCTCCGACACTCCCATCCCAATTATCCCAATCACTGAATCAATCCACCTCATAGAGGGCCTTCCTCTCCTGCGCCGTCCCTCCACCCTCCCAAGCATGATGTCCCTCTCCAAGGACCGGTCTCTCCTCACAACATGTCCAAAGTAAGTTAGACGGAGCCTCAGAATCCTTGCCTCCAAGGACCCACCCGGTTTAACCCTTTCCAGGACAAATTTGTTTGTTTCCTAGCAGTAGTAATAAATACTAATCTCTTGCAATCAGTTGGCCAGGTAGTTGTCCTCCAGATTTCTTGGCACAAACTAGTGAGCACATCCAGGGCTTCATTTGTTTGTTAAAATATGTCAAGTTGTATTCCGTTGATTCCTGGAGACTTATTATTTTTTTTTCTATTTCCTTTAGAGCGGCTTGAACTTCCTACTCCATCACCATCTAGATTATATTCCATCTTCTTTTGATACTTCCTAGATCACTCAATATTCTACCCATAGCATCTTTAAGTATTGCCACTCAAGTCTTAAATTTGTTCTTTCAGTTTCTTCAGTTTAAGAAGGCTTTTGATTCTCTGACTCAAGCTCTTAGCACCTTTCATTATAATATTTGCTTTCCCAAGCTGCCCTTTGAAATCTTCTGTTCAGCACTTTAACTACTTCCTTATTTCTTCCCTTTGCTTTGGCTTCCCAGCACTCTAGAACAATATTCAGTGTCTTCTGATATCCAGTTCAATCTTTTCTTCCTTCTCTTTTTAATGACTTTTTGAAATTTTTTTTAAAAATTTTATTATTATTTGTGTGTGTACCGTCAAATTGGATCTGACTGGTACTGGAGAAGATTGCCCCTCCTACAGCAGAGCATCTGATGGATTCAAACTGCGTACCTCTGGGATTGCAGTGCAGCTTCTTGCCACTAGGCCACCAGAGCTCCCTTTGTAATGACTTTTTACATTCATCGCGAATGATATTCTTGATATCCTCCCACAGTTTGGCTGGTCTCAATTCTTCAGTGTTTAAGGCCTCAAACCTGTTTTTGACATGGTTTTGAAATTCAGGTGGAATAAACTCAAGGATGAATTTTGGTTCTTGTGGTTTTGTTCTAAGGCTCTTTAGCTTCAGTTTGAACTTGCATATAAGTAGTTGAGGGTCAGTTCCACAGTAAGCACCTGGCTTAGTTTTCACAGCTGATATTGAGCTTCTCCCATGATTCCACAGATGTACTCAATCTGATTCCTGTGTAGACCATCAGGTGAGGTCCATGTACATCATCACCGTTTGTGCTTCCTATAAAAGGTATTTATAGTAAATAATTGATAGTACAAGATTCTTTTGTTCTATCTTTAGCCTCATCTCTGTCACAAAGTCTTTGTTTGCTGACTACAAATACTTCTCTGTTCCTAAGTTTTTCATTCCAGTCACCCAATATTATTAATGCCTCTTGGTTACATGTTAGATCAATTTCCAACTGTAAAAGTTGGTAGAAGTCATCTATTTCCTCCTCTTTGACTCTGTTTGTTGGTGCCTATATTTCAGTGATAGTGGTGTTAATAGGTATGTGTATGGATATTATCCTGTCCCTCACAATACTGTACTCAAGATGGATTTGGAAATTATCTTTTTAACTATGAATGTGACTCCATTCTCATCACCTTCCAATTTCCAGAATAATAGATCATATTATTACTGATTCAAACTGTTCCATGGCAATCCATCTCGTTTCCCCAATGCCTACTATATCAACATTTATATGGTCCATTTCTTCTTTGACAATATCCAATTTTCCTGCACTCATACTTCTTACATTCCATGTGCCAATTACTAGTGCCTGCTGGCAACTGTCTCTTCTCCTTTATGTTTCCCAATATGAGGGCTCCCCCTCCAGGACCATATTTGCTAGTCTAATCTAAGTTCACTCATTGTGCAGAGGGTTTTTGAAGGCCTGTTACTTAGGAAGTGGATGGCCAGTCCTTCTTCTTGGTCTATATAATTTGGGTGCTCCACTTTAGAACAATACTGGACAGACAAGTATTTTGCCAAAAAAGAGCAGATGAAAGCAGGTTCCTGATATACAGCTAACTACAGTGTTGATGGTGTTGATCCTGCCTCCCCATTCAACACATGTGAAGTGATCCACTTCCCCTTCCCACCAGCCTCCCTTTCTGTTGCCTCTCCCTGACTAGCCAGCACCTCTCTAACCCCTTTTCGCAGCTAACACAGATACTGTCTCAAGCCTCTGGCTTCTTCTTTGTGAGCCTTCTCTCTCTACTCCTCAGTGATGTTGATGTGCTGGCAGGTCTGTAGGCAGAATGATCAGGCAGAAAGGGTGGACGCGGGAATGATTTGAGCAGTCAGGAGGACTTCATGGACTCCTTCCTGGTAGGGCTGATGGGTGAGCTCAAGGCTTTGACTTCCTCAGAGTTCAGCCCACCATTGCTAGAAGAAGCTAGTTTTTAGAAAGGTACTTGAAAATGTGGAGGATCATCAAAAGAGAGGAATATCCTCAGCGAGGGGGACTGATATAGTGACTACAACCATGGGTTCCAGTGTGTCCTACATTCTTAAGATGATACAGGGTAAGACTGGGATCACATCTGTTGTAGGGTCTCTGTAAGTCTTACTTGACTCTATGGCACAATGCCCAAAGGAAGATGGAAATTGTGTCGATCTCACTTGAAGTGAAAAATTGAGATTTGCTTCATTAGAGGTATTTTTTAAATTTAATTGCCATACCATGAATTACATCCTCATAGTTTAACACTATTTCTTTTCTATTAAAAAAGTAGTATACTTACATGGATAGCAACTAATATTTACTTTAATTGAACACTTCTTAAAGTGGTCTTTGTCCCCGTATTTTCAAGCATGTTTCAAAGCATATTATTTTTTCATTTTCTTTTAGGTTCCAAATTTTGCTAGTTTGTCAACTATGTTAAATGAAATACAAGAAGAGATTGTGAATAAACACAACAGTCTAAGGAAAAATGTTTCTCCCACAGCCCAAAACATGCTGAAGATGGTAAGAAACAATAATATAAGCTTGTGGTAAGCACAGGAATTTGACAACAAATACATCTCAAGGAATTTGTGACATGAAGTTCTACCCTTGTTTTGTTATTTTATGTGAGTTGTAGTGTTATTCACTGTTGCAAGAACATGAAAACTGCCCAAATGTTCAACCACAATTGAATGGCTTGAGAGATTATGGTACATTCACACAATGGAATATTGTGCAGCTTGCAGGAGCAATGGTTTTGTAAACTATTACCTAACTTGGGAGAGACTGGAAAGCATTTTGCTGAGTGCACTGACTCAGTCCTATAAGGACAAATACTGTATAAGACCATTGTTGTAGAATTTGTATGAAGGTCCAAGGGGGGAGTAGGAGCAGAAGGATGAGGATCAGTGGAGGTTAGGGGGCTGGAAGTGGGGAGTTTAATCTCAGGGTTGCACAATTTGATGTGGAGGGAAGGATGGATAAAGAGAATGGGAAAGATCCTGTGTGAAAAACAATGTATACAAACTTTGTAAGTAAACCAGTATAAAATAGATACTTTGTTTAAAAAAAATGAAGGTGATAATTCTTAATTTCTATATATAGTGAATGACTCAACAGCCATCAACAGCAATAACATATAGTGATATAGTTACAGAGCTATTAAGTTATTGGTGTTGTTATGTGTCATCGAGTCACCTGTGACTCCATCACCCTATGTACATTAACTCTCAAACCTGCCATATTGTGAGCCAATCCCACTGTCTCTGGCATACCTAATCCCATTTTTCCAGTCACCGAGTAAATGCATCTCATCCTTGGTCTTCCTCTCCTGTGCTTTCCCTAAACCCTTCCAAACATTATGTCCTCTCTAAAGACTGTTCCTTCCTGGCTACATGCCCAAAATATGTAAGACAGAGCTTCAAAATCATTGCCTCCAGGGAGCAGCTTAGTTTTACCTGCTCCAGAGTAGACCTGTTAGTTTTCTTGGCAGTCCATAGTATATTTAACACTCTTCTCCAGCACCACAAGTTAAGGCATTGATCCTTCTTCTATTATCCTTAGTTATTATCCAGTTCTCAAATGTATAGCAAGTAATTGCAAAGGCCATGGCCTAGATCAGGTGCATCTTAGCCTCCAGAGTGAGTGTGTTGCTCTTCAATACTTTTGAGAGGTCTCTGACAACAGGCTTTTCCAATGCAATTCATCTTTCTATTTCCTGACTACTGATACCAAGTGTTGATTGTGGAACCAAGCAAGTTGAAATTGAATTTCAATCTCTTCTCCATCCATCATAAAGTTATCAATTGACCCAGGGGTGAGAATCTTTCTTTTCTTGATGTTGAGCTTCAATCCATATTGAAGACTACAGTCCTTGACCTTCTGCAGCAAATGCCTCATGTCCTCATTTCAGGAAGTAAGATTATATCATCTGGATAACACAGGTTGTTTATGAGTCTTCCTCCAATTCTGATAGCACATTCCTCCTCATAAAGTCTACCCTTCCATATGATCTGTTCTGCATATAGATTGAAAAGGTAGTGAGATAGGACGGATCCCTGATGCACACCTCTCTTGATCCTGAACCATGTAATGTTTCCCTGCTTTCTTCTGATGATTGCTTTCTGGTGCAAGTATAGGTTTCACACAAGCTGAATGAAGTGTCCTGGGACCCTCATTCTTCCCAAGGTTAACCACAATTTGTTGTGATCCACACAGTCAAATGCTTTTGCATAGTCAATGAAACACAGATAGACATTCCTGTGGTACTCTTTGCTTTCAGCCAAGATCCACTTAACATTGGCTTTCATATCCCTAGTGTCATACCCTGTCTGTACATCTGGCAGTTCTTTGTTGGTGTACTGTTTCAGTAGTTTCTGGATAATCTTTAGCAGGATTTTGCTTGTGTGTAATATTAGTGACATAGTTTGATAAATTTCACAATCCATTGGGTCACCTTTTTTGAAATGGGAATAAATACAGATCTCTTCCAATCAGTTGGCCAGGTAGTTGTCCTCCAGATTTCTCCACTTAACCTGATGAGTATGTCCTGGACAGCATCTGTTTGCTGATATGTCAATTGGTATCCCATAAAATCCTGGGGCCTTGTTCTTAACCAATTCCTTCAGAGCATTTTGAATTTCCTTCTTCATCAACATCGCCCTTGATCATATGTTGTTTCATAAAATTCTTCTGTATCAGCCAATTCTTTTTGGTATAGTGTCTCTGTGTATACTCCATCCATTTCCTTGTGACGCTTCCTTGGTTATTCAACATTATGCCTTCATCATCCTTAAGTATTGCAACTCAAAGCTTGAATTTGTTCTTCAGTTCCTTCAGCTTACGAAAAACTGAGCAATTTTGCCCCTTTTGATTTTCTGACTCCAGAAAACCAGTATATTACTTTGTTTTGCCTTCCCATGCTGTCTTTTGAAATCTTCTGTTCAGCTCCTTTTAACCTTGATTTCTTCCCCTTTGATGTGGCTTCTTGGCATTCTAGTGTGATATTCAAAGTCTCTTCTACATCCATCTTGATTTTTTCTTTCTCTTCTATTTTTGTAATGACTTTTCCCATTCTTATGAAAGATATTCTTGATGTTCTCCCACAGTTCATCTAGTCTTCACTTATTAATAATGTTCAAGGCTTCAAACCTGTTACTGAGTTGAGAGGAAGAATGAAAATAAAATCTTTGGATATTCAGTGATGGTCATTAACATTTTCAGTTCACTCTTTCTCTTTATCTAAGATCTAGAAAACTCCATTTTAGATAAATTTTGCTTTTGGTAATTAGGATATCTTTTCCCTAGAACCACTACCAAAATCCGTGGATTCCTTCTATGAATTTCTTAGATAAAAATGGAACTTGGAATGGGCTAGATGAATTCAGTATTATTAGGAAACTACAACAACAAATAAAACACTCACTACAGTATTTGCATCTGTTTATAAATAGGATTTAGAGTTTTACAATTACTAAAAGTCTTTAGGTGTAGACATACTGTATTACCTATGTTATTTATAAAGCACGTAAAGGCATACAAAAATAATTTTATTATAATAAAAAATCATTTTCTTCAGTAATTATATAATAATATAAATAAAATTATTTCACTGAATATATGGCATAAACTCCTTAATGGTTTGAATTATTAAGTATATGTCATTTTTGTATTTTTTTAAGACATGGGACAAAAATGCAACAGTAAATGCTCAAAAATGGGCAGATATGTGCCAATATGAACACAGTCGTCAAGAACTACGAACAACCGGTAAGTAAATTAATACATATTTGTTGAATAAAATGAACAAGCCCAAAGTATGTCAGATGAGGGACATTCAAAATCCTTGCCTCCAAGGAGCAATTTGGCTTCACTCCCTCCAGGCCAGACCTGTTTGTTCTCTTGGCAGTCCATGGTATATATTCGATACTCTTCTACAATACTGCAATTAAAAGGCATTAATTCTTCTGTCATCCTTAGTCATTGTCCAGCTCTCTGATAAGTAGAAAGTAATTGCAAAGACCATGGTCTGGATCAGGTGCACTTTTGTCTTATCTTAGACTGATATTGTTGCTCTTCATCACTCTGAGAGGTCTCTGACAGTAGATTTTCCCGGTACAATTCATCTTTTAATTTCCTGACTGCTGGTAACTTAACAAGTGCTGTTTGTGGAACTGCGCAAGCTGAAATTGTGAACAAGCTCAATCTCTTCTCCATCTATCATGGTGCTGCCAGCTAGGCAAATGGTGAGAATCTTTGTTTTCTTGATGTTGAGCATTAATCCATATTGAAGACTACAATCCTTGAGTTTCTGTATCAAACACTTCAAGCTCTCTTCAGTTTCATGGAGCAAGGTTGTGTCATCTGCATAATGCAAGTTGTTGATGCGTCTTCCTCCAATCCTGATGCCACATTCCTAGTCATAATGTCCAGCTTCCCAAATTACCTGTGCATAAAGATGGAAAAGGTATTGAGACAGGATGCATCCCTAATGCATTTCCTGATTGTGAACCACATAGTGTTTCTTAGCTCTGTTCTGATGATGGCTTCTTTTGTCCAAGTATATGTTTTGCATGAGCACAATCAAGTGTTCTAGGATTCCCATTCTGCTCAAGGTTAGCCACAATTTATTGTGAGCCATGCAGTCAAGTGCCTTTGCTTAGTCAATGAAACACAGAGACATTCTTCTGGTACTCTGTTTTCAGCCACGACTGATCTAACATTAGCTATGATGTTCCTAGTGCCATGGCCTCTTCTAAACCCATCTTGCACTTCCGGCAGTTCTTTGTCTGTGTACTGTTTCCAGTCATTTTTCTATAATCTTCAGTAAGATTTTGCTTGTGTGTGATATTAGTTATATTGTTTGATAATTTCCACACTCTGACAGAGCTCCTTTTTTTTTAATGGACATAAATATGGGTCTCTTCCAGTTAGCTGGCCAATTAGTTTTTTGACACAACTTGCTGAGTATGTTCGGGCACCATCTGTTAGTTGAAATATGTCAGTGGCTATTCCATTAATTCCTGGGGTCTTGTTTTTTTGCTAAGTTCTTCAAAGTAGCTTGAACTTCCTCCTTCATCTGTATTGCCTCTTGATCATTGGTTGTTTCATGAAATTCTTTTGTGTCAGCCAATTCCTTCTGGTACAGTGACTCAGTGTACTCTTCCATCTTCTTTTGATGCATCCTGGATCACTCAACTACAAACAACTACAAACCAAACAGGTCCCATGCATGAAAGGTGATGCTTCTTTCTTGGCATTTATATAATTAATATACCATTGCATGTTAGTTTTATATTTGTTATTTTTTTTATCCTCGTGATGTTTTTCTTAGATACAACATGTGGTGAGAATCTCTATATGTCCAGTGATCCTAATTCATGGTCAGACGCCATCCAAAGTTGGTACGATGAAGTCAATGATTTTACATATGGTATAGGAGCAAAGAGTCTTGGTGCAGTTATTGGACATTATACTCAGGTAAGGAAAGTGTGAAAATCTTTTCTACTCTAATTGCTTCACGAAATAAATTTTCTTTGTGTTTTTACTTATTCCAACTTTCAATTTTTTTTTTACATTTTGTTTTTTATTTAATTTTTTTTATTTATTAATTTCAATGAACATTTACAGAGACTTCGGATTTCCATTCATTAATTGTTGCACTTTTCTCCCTGCCCAACCTCCCCCACAATTATCCTTTCTCTTTGAAAAGTAAAAGAAAAATTCTTTCATTGTTATACAATCCCTCCTTCCAAGTCCACTACACTGTGCGGCCTTCATTCTGGACGGACTCCTGTCATGACAATAATACCTAATCATATATCCCTTTTAAACCATTCTCTCCCTCATCTATTGCAATGCCATGTACATTATTTATACCATCTTTCTCAGTCTCTTCCCAACCCCAAGGTCAGTCCCATTTAACAACAGTGACACTATGCAGTATTTGTCCTTTTGTGACTAAGATATTTCACTCAGCATAATGTCCTTCAGGGTCCCCCATTTTGTATAATATTTTATGAATTCTTTGTTTTTCAAAGCAGCATAGTGTTCCATTGTGTGAATATACCACAGTTTCTCTATCTATTCGTTTGTTGATGGGCACTTAAGTTGTTCCCAACTCTTTGTATAGTGAACAAAGCTGTGATAAACATAGGTGTGCATATATCTGCTTGGATGTCAGTTATGGTCCCTTTGGGGTATATTCCCAGTAGTGGAATTGCTGGGCTATCTTTATTTGCAACTTTTTGAGAAAGAGCCACACTGCCTTCCACAGTGGTTGCACCATTTTACACTTCCACCAATAGTGAATAGAGGGTCCAGTTTCTCTACAACGTTGCCAGCATTTGTTGTTTGCTGCTGTTAAATTTTGCTGTTCTTACTGGGCTGAGATGATATCTCATAGTCCAAACTTCAGTTTAGAGAAAGAGTCCCAGTAGATAAAGCCTGGTCCTAGTATTTGGTGGGCACCTAGAATGGCTATGAGGGAGCTCTGGTGGCATGGCCAGAACGGGCTTGTGCTCTCAACCCAGAGGCAGCACCTCTTCGGAAGGTGGAATCCACCAAGGGCTCAAAGGGGAAAATATGGGCAATTTCCTCCCATAAGATTTGTAGCTTCCCAAAGTCAGTACTAATGTGATAGCAATGTGGATTTTTGTTGGGGTTTTTGATTACGTTAATGTGCAATCACTTTCCGTAGTTTGCAAAGCCCTAGTACTGAAGCATATATTATCTCTCTCTCTCTCTCTGTGCAGGCTTTTAAAACGAAATACTCTAAATGGAAAAAGTAGTGAATATGTGGATATTTTGTTGTTTTGTGACATTTTTCACAGAATTGTGGCTCTAAATATATTGCTTATTACACAATTTATTAGTAAAAAAACTACTCAAAGGATGTTTCTATTAAAAGTAAATTTTATTATTTACTTCTCATGAATTTATAATTCATGGTTAGTTTTTTAAGATGTCATACTGTTGTTAAGGGCTGTTGAGTAGATTATGACTCATAGCAGCCCTATGAACAGATCTGAACCCTGTCTTATCCTGTCCCATTCTTATCATCCTTAACCCATTTGAGTCATTGCTGCAGTCACTGCATCGACCACTCTCACTGAGAGTCTTTTTCTTCTTCACTGACCTTCCACCCTACTGACAGACTCTCCTGACAACATACTTGCAGTATGTGAAGTGAGTTTTCTCATTCTTGCTTTCAAGAAACACCCTGGTGCCCTTTCTCCAAGATATTTCTATTCTTTTGGCAGTCTATGGGATGGATATTCAGAACTCTTCTCATTAAAGTTTAGTAATTCCAATGAGGTGACATCTCACAATGGCATGATTGAAAAAAATCCATCAGAAAACTTGTGATATTTTCTCAGTAATTTAACTAAATATTCCTACAAAGCACAAGACATTTTTTACTACATTATTAATACTTTATAATTTTATACTTACTGTTATTTGCTGACTGTTGTGTTTTGTTGTGTTTTTTTTTTTCTCTCTCTCTCCCTAATGTATTCTCCTATCTTTATCAATTTATAGGTTGTTTGGGACACATCTTACCGTGTTGGTTGTGGCCTTGCTCATTGTCCCAATGAAGATTTACCCTATTTCTATGTCTGTCAATACTGTCCTGCGTAAGTACATGCTTAAGACTTTAATGTCAATGATGCCATCTTCAATATTAACATTTAAAATTTATCATTAACAAACAAATAAGAATATAAAGCATGTTTCCATACAAATGGGGAACTACTAGAAATGTTTTCTCAAGTGGAAACATTTATTTGGTTTCTAAGAAAATGAAAAAAAAAATACCAAACACAACAAACCACAACACAATAAACATCTAGGTTCTAGGGGTAGCATTTGAAGTTCTCTATTTACATGTCTAAAATGATTTCTTTTTTCTCTCAAGAATACTCCTTTGGTCTCAGGGTACTCAAACAATATTATGTAGTGTATGTATATAATTTTCTAGTTATGATACAATTAGTTCTTACTAAATGTACACTATAGACTCTGAAAACTTGTTAGACCAGAATTGGGATGGAGTAGCTAACAGAGAGACAGTTCTGGTGGCTTGGAGGGTACGGAGATGCACTACCCACCCAAAAGTTTGAAGTTTGATCCAATAGCTGCTCCCTAATAGAAAGATGTGCAGTCTTCTCGTGAGATTTATAGCCTCTGAAAATACATTGGAGAGGCAGCTCTGAGTTGGTTCAGACTCAATGGCAATGAGTTGAGTTGAGTTTGAATAAATATAAAAAATAAACTGTAGCAGTTCCAGTCCTGTCCACTCTCATGTTCCTACTCATCCTTATCTAATCGAACTGTGCTGTTATTGCTCGGTGCCATCAAGTTGACTATGGCTCAGTTATCTTATGCATAACAGATCAAACCTCACCTGTCCTGCTCCAGCTTCATGATCTCTTCCATGCTTGAGCTCATTTGTATGTTTAATGTGTCAATCCATATCATTGAGAGTTGTCTTCAACTATACTATTGCCAATAAAATTATTAAACATTGGGCCTTGAAGGTTGGATTTTTAAAAAAAAAAATCTTAATATATTTGTTATAATCCAAAGAATGAAAACATAAGTTTTTATGTCTCGGATTTTTTATTATTATTAAATTTTATTAATTTTAATGAACATTTACAGAGATTTGGGGTTTTCATTCATTCGTTGTTGCACTATTTTCTCTACCCGCCTAGCCAGTTTTTTTCCCCCCTTGAAAGTCTGTTTTAATTGTCCAATTGCCACAGTGCTTGTCAAAGCCAGTTCTGATTAATCTCCTGTGTCAGTGTGTCTTTTGCCATTCCCTATCCCTCCTCCCTGAGAGAGACTTCACCCTGATTCATAAGGAAAAGAGGATGGCATATTCTTTTAGCTACTTCCTGCTGAAAAGGGACGCTTTAGGTTTCAGGATGAAGATCTTCTCTCACTACTCTAAAGGGCCCCTTTGGCAATAGGAAGCACATAGACTATTACGGAGATTGGTTTTGGAATTTAGATGCACTGTTATCAATTGTGCTTAGCCGTACATGTTCATATCCTTGAAGATGTATCATAGAAGTGTTGCAGCCTAGAAGACACAAATTTAACTAACAAGTTAAAAGTACATGAGTCAAAAATTAAAAAGCAATAATATTCCAAGTAGAGGCTCTAATAGTGGCACAAATCAAGTTACAGAGGGAAGGTAGTTCTTACAATAAAAGGCCTATTGACTATCACTTTGTCTATTATAGAATAAAGGTTAGGAACCACACGATGTAGAGGGTCAACTATGTCATTTATTGTTCTTAAGTCCTGGAGCAAATTCCATCTACCACTGGGTTTTTTTACAACTCAGAAGTCCACATGCACGGCAGAGGTGAAGTAAAGAACTGCTTATGAGTTTTTCTGTCAATTTCAACAACTAAGAGATAGTGAGAAGAGTTGAGACCTCAGAAGGCTTTTAGGACCAAATAGTGGGCTCTTGTGTCCAGGAGAAAATGAATATACTTACCAGTAATGTTAATCCTCACACACAGCTCTTCTGGGAGGATCTAAATCGTTGAAGCGTCCTCCTTTGTTTCCAGCTGGGAGCTGGGGCCTGTCAGTCCTGTCAGCCACAAGGACCTGATGTGGGCCACCCTTGATGAAGTGTCCTTCAGATCCACACTTAAAGCAAGTGAGTGGGAGCTTCCTCTCTACTCCCTTGCCTATCTGTGGCTCTCGATGTGACACTGTCTACTGAAGTGGCCCAGGTATCAAAAACTCCAAAATCCATATGCATTGGCTTCTTGATTTACAGCTAAAAATGTCTCTCACAAACAAAATGTTTAATTTAACCTGTAATAAATCCTGTGGATATATTGAATATTAGTATCATGTTTCTGTCAGTTTTAATTTCTCTTAAAGATCTACATTTTTTTCTTTTTGTTTCTTTTTATTTTATTATTTTTTGTGTGTATACCATCAAATTGGATCTGACTGGTACAGGAGGAGATTGCCCCTCCTTCTCCAGCAGAGCATCTGGCAGATTTGAACCACAGCCTCTGCGATTGTAGTGCAGCTTCTTGCCACTAGGCCACCAGAGCTCCTTATGATTTACATTTTTTTAACCATGAAGGCAGAAAGGGCTTCCAAAACTAAGCTTTCTATTTGATTTAAGGTTGTAGATAATGCAGGTGATAGGGTTATCTGCTTTGAGGTATGTCATTTTCCCTATTATTGCTAAGTAAATTACTTTTTACAATTATTTTTTTAAAATCCTTACTATAGTTCCAATAATCCAGATAAAGGAAACATCATCAGTTTTAACTTCTATGCCTATGGGGTGTAGAAGACATACAAACTCAATGCCTAGCTTGAAAGGTGGTTTGAGCATGGAAGTATGGAGGAACTAACTCATAAAGGAAAAACTTAGATGAGAGAACTTTCAGACCATTTTCACATCTATTTTATATTATTCCTTTTTATCATGTAGCCCCTCAGCCCCAGAATCTTCTGTGTCCCAGAGCATTATTCCATTCCTAGCCAACACTTTGGGGTACACTGCCATTAGACCTAGTCAACTAGGAGTTAATGAATGTGCTTTTATTCTCTGAAAACTTGAGACACTACTTATTTCACTGCTTAGCCTGTGTGACTATATAATATTCAAGGACATAACTGTATGGGTGAACTATTCTCTCACTTTGAGTGGTTATCTAAATCACACATAATAAATGATAATTTTGTGTTCTGGTTATTTAACATAATTTAAAAATATTCAATACATGTGCATACGTATTTGGTGACAGATGTTACCCTTGAGATATAAACTAAAGCAGAAAGTGAAACATAGTTGACATTTGTTATTTCAAATTGCAGCGGTAATTATGAAAATAGAGTGAGTACCCCCTACAAAAAAGGACCGACTTGTGCCAGTTGCCCTAACGACTGTGAAGATGGACTATGCAGTAAGTTTGAAATAATTAACTTGTTAGTTGATTAAAATGATGTGTTATTTCTTTTTATAAAAATACTTGAGAATATTTCTATCAAAATTATAAATCAGCTAAAAGAAAAAAATAGTATGCAGAAATAACTGGGTAAAAGTTAACCTAGGAAAACACAGATTAAAATAAAATCTGGATACCTTAACTGCATAATGGCAACATAAATAAAGAGAAATGGACAGGCTTGAGAGATGGCAAGTGGAATAGCTAATGTCTGTTTCCTATGCTTAGTGAGTGCTAGCAAAATGTAGAGGAAAGGAATGCGGGTCAATTCCTACTTCCCGGCTTGACCACTGTGTCACCAGCACTCTTTTATGGTACAAGCTGAGGAATTTGCAGTCCCACTCACCGATATTGGGTGATCTGGGTGGAATTAAGGAGACACACCAAAGAAAAGGCAGGCTCGTAGGTAGAATGATAAATTTCATTTTATAATTGTTGTGCTTGTGGCCTATGAGTGACATCCAAGTAGAAATAGCCCAAAATAACATTCTTCACTCACTTATTGCTGTAAGGTTGGCATTAACTTAGAACTGAGCCTCTAGCAGTTTCTCTGAGGCTGTAAATCACATGGGAGGAGACTGCCCATCCTTCTCCCATGGAGCTTCCAGTGGATTCAAATAGTATACCTGTGGCTTGCCAATGAAATTCTTTTCCCACCAGGCTAACAAATCTGTTGAAACTATCACAGAGACACTAATTCTCCTTTTACTTTTTCTTTCCTTCTACAACCTTTCATACTAAAAACTTACTCAAAAAAGTAAACTCCATTGATATTTAAATTTAGATCAAAAACATTCATCAAAATTTTCTGCAATGATGGGGATGTCCTCTTTTGTACTATCCTGAAAGCAGTTCTTACCTGTGCTGGCACTTAGGATGTAATTACTATTACTCAGTAAATAAGATTATAATTTTATTTAAGATGAAATTCAAATAAACACGTGTGGTTTGTGACTACACTGTGGTGGCTTAGTGGGATAAGAATTATGCTGCCAATTTGAAAGTATACAGTTGAAATACACCTTGGGAGAAAGATGAGCAATTTCCTCCTGTGTGATGTACAGACAGCTTCTTAAAACCTGTTGAAGGCTTAGCTCTGAGTCAACTATGACTCATCACTTTTCACAGGCAGTAAATCTCACTGAAAGAAATTGACCATCCTTCTCTTGCAGAGCAGCTGGTGAATTAAAACCATATGGCTTTAGCTTGGCAACACAGCTCCTTACCCACTAGAGGTTTCTCCAGTTCTAGAGAGATTCAATCATACAGCTTTTACTTTGGGTTCTGAATGATGTCAACTCATAAGAATTTTTCAAAGTTCAAATTGGAAAAAAAAGAGTTTAATCAGTAAATTTAACTTTCTTTTTATGACAACATAGAAAATGCCTGTCAGAGTAATGCTGCTGGCCTGTTTCTCAATTTCCTTCCTTTAGCTCATACTGAATTTATTGATAGTGCTGCTCTTCTAAAAGAAAATTCTGTTGAAATGACTAAATTATTTGCTTTTATTACAGCCAATAGCTGCAGCTATTACGATAATTACAGTAACTGTGCAGAGCTGAAGGAACAGGTTACCTGTGAATACGAATTGGTCAAGAACTATTGTAAAGCCACCTGCCTTTGTGAAGGGAAAATTTATTAAACACCAAATACAGACAAAAGTTAAGTAGAGAATGACTATCCCATGTATTTAGGTTTGACTTGTACTGACAAGGCATTTAAAGAGTTCTGGTGGGCCAATGATTAAAATGTTTGGTTGCTAACTGAGATTAACATTTCCATGGGAGAAAAATGTAGCAGTTTGCTTCTGTAATGATCTTATTGTGTTGGGAGCATTATGGAGGAGTCCTGATCTCTCCTAAAAGGCAGACCTAAGTCAGAATTGACTCCATGGAAGTGTTTTGTATGGTCTTTCTTATTTTGTCTCCTTTTTCGAATAATTGTAGGCAAATTAATTACAGATTTTATTCTAATCAACTATGCATTCTTTCCTCTCAGTTGTTCTTTTCTGTACATTTTAATTTAACACTGACCTAATTTACCAAAATCAATTCAGTCTTTTGATTTTTTATTTTTCACCTACACAGATTTTATAGCAGACTATGCCAGTACCTTTTAAAAAAATCAAAAAAACCCTCTTAGACAAATCCTCTTTACAGAAAAATTACAGACAATATGTGTAAAAACCTCTCCCTCAAAGAACATAACTCAGTCCCCTCAATCCTTTCGTGTAGGCTAATTTTTGTGTTTCCTTTCTAAAGTTTGACAAAGGGCCAATGGTAGTGTTTAGTGGACAAATCTGGCACTGAAACAAATAATCAAAATTAACATCACCAAAGATAAATTATGTGAATTCATGTACCCCTAATGTAATGTGTTTAGAAGGTCATATAATCTCCTTGATAGCTAAAAACCTGTAGCTCCAATCTAATTATTAGGTAGAATACAAAACACACTCAAATTGACAATTCTAACCAGTGTTCTTCAAAACTGTCAAAATCACAAAAATATGGAAATTCTAAAAAGATGTCAGGTGACATGAGAATAAGGAGACAAAAAATTAAATGTAGTAGGGCATCTTGGATTGGTTCCTAAAACAGAAAAAAAGATCATTAATGGAAAAATTAGTGAACTAGATGTGAGTTAAGAGTCTATGGGAACTTTCTGTACTAATTTTGCAAATTTTCTGTAAATAAAAGTATACACAAAAATAAAAAGTACACTAAAAGCAAAAATTCTTTTTCTTGACTCCATACACTACATATACTTTCTTAATACTCCTAGTCATTCTTCCTCTGACCTTTTCCCCTACAAGCATTAATTCCACAATTGCATTTCAAAGTAATTGATCGATTGATATTTTCCATGATCCTTTTGGATTGCACAAATTATTGCATTATCATATTCAGCTCACTTGAATCATAAGTCTTACCTACTAAGTTTTACTAATAATTCTAAGGATATCTGAATTATGAGGGCAGACATGTATATGTGCTTTCTCCAGCATAGTTTTTATCTCTTTTGTTATTATTCTTACAAGCCATCAAGTTAGTTCTGAGATATGTGGACCCTATAACAGAACAAGCTACTGCATGATCCTGTTCCATTACCACAACTGTTCCTGTGTTTGAGTCCATGCACACATACAATATTGTTGTGAATGTTTCTCTTTTTTTATGATCCTCAACTTTATCTAGCTTGATGCCTTTCTCCAGTGACTGGTTCCTCCTGATATTGTTGTTGTTGATGTTGTTGTTGCTTGTGCTGTTGAATTGAAACAGATTCATAGCTGAACCTCTGGTGGGTTTTCAGAAGCAGTAAATTTCATGAGAGGAAGTTGCCCATCTTTCTCCCGTAGAGCCCTGTAACTTTTGAATTGCAGTGCAGCTTCCTATCACTAGGTCTCCAGAGCTCCCAGGTTTCTCCTGATAATATGTCCACAGTACGTGAGTCAAAGTCTTGTTATCTTCTCTTTTAAGAAGTGTTCTGTGGGAGCTCTGGTGGCCTAGTGGCAAGAAGTTGCACTGTAATCCCAGAGGTATGTGGTTCAAATCCACCAGATGCTCTGCTGGAGAAGGAGGGGCAATCTCCTCCTGTATCATTAAGATCTGATTTTAGGGTACACACACAAAATATAATAAAATAAAATTTTAAAGAAAGGTGTTATGAATGTAATTTTGCCAAGACATATTCATTCATTCTACTGTTAATCCAAAGTACATTTAATTTTCTTTAAAAACATCATTCAAGCATATCACTTCTCCTTTGACCTTCATTCATTGTCCAGCTTTTGCAGGATACGTTATGGTTGTTAAGTGCCATTGAGTTGACTACAACTTATAGTGACGCTATGAATAACAGATCTGAACCCTGTCCTGTCCCATCCTCACAATCTCTAACATACGAGAGCCCATTGCTGCAATCACTGTATCAATCCACTTGGTCAAGGATCAGTCTTTTTCTTTTATGCCATGACTCCACATTCCCAAGGATGATGTCCCTCTCCATCCCTCTCCAATGAATAGCCTCCCCTGGTAACATGTCCAAAGAAGCTCTGTTGGCTTAGAGGTAAGCAAATGTGCTGCCAGTGGAAAAGCAGTTCAAATCCACCGCTCCATGGGAGAGAGATGAACAATCTCATCCTGTGTGATTTCCTGCCCCTGAAAACTTGCTGGCTCAGTTTTGACTCAACTGTACAAAACAGCAACAAACAAAATGCATATATCTATCTCTATCTCTATATATCTACATCTATAATGAAACTTCATCATCTTTGCCTCCAAGGAGCACTCTGGCTGCACCTTCTCTAAGACATATCTGTTTACTCTTTTGGCAGTCCATGGGATATTCAGTACTCTTCTCCAACACCACAGCTCAAAGTCGTCAATTCCTCTCAGTTATCCTCATAAACTCTCCATCTCTCAGCAGCATAACAAGGAATTGAAAAGATCTTCTTATGAATCAGGTGCCTCTTAGTCCTCAAACTCACGTCATTGCTCCTCAATAGTTTGGAGAGGTCCCTGACTTCAGACTTTTCCAGTGTGGTAGCTCCTGAAAACTGATTTCCTGACTGCTAGTACCAAGTATATTGATTGTGGATCCAAGTAAGATGAAGCTGTTAATAACATCAATCTTTTCTCCATCTATCATGATGTTGCCTATAGGTCCAGCGGTGAGAATTCTTGTTTTCTTGACATTGAGACACAATTCATATTAAAGGCTGTATTCTTTGATCTTCTGAATCAAGTGCTTCAAGTCCTTCTCACTTTCAGTAAGCGAAGTTTTGCATCACCATGTTGTTGTTGTTGATTGTCTTCGAGTTGAGCATGACTCATAGCAACCCTATGAACAAAAGGCCCGAAGCCCCTCTATAACTATCGACATTTATCAAAGTTCATAGAGTTTCTGGAGGCATATTGTTTAGGAAGTGGATGCCACTCCTGCTTCCAAATAACAAAGGTTATTAGATTAATCTTCCTCTGATCCTAATGCCACCTACTTCTTCATAAAATCCAGCTTCTCAAATAATTTGCTCAATGTATAGATTAAATACATACAGAGAAATGATACATCCCTAAAGTACACCTTTTTAATTTTAAACCATTCCCTTGCTCTGTTTGCACAATAGCTTCTTGGTCAACATACAGGTTTCACATGAGCACAATTAATATTCTAATATTAATGTTCTAATATTCTTCTCAATGCTAACCATAATTTGTTATGGTCCACATATCAAATGACTTTGCATAGTCAATAAAACATAAACAGTCTTCTCATATTCCTTACTTTAAGTAGCTAAGATCCCTCTGTTGTTGTTGTTATGTGCCATCAAGTCACATGTGACTCATCGTGAAACTACGTAAAACAGCCCTAAACCCTTCTCTGTCCTGTGCCAATTGCACCATCTCCAACACACCCACCCAGATTACCCCAGTCACTGAATCAATCCACCTCATAGAGGGTCTTCCTCTCCTCCACTGTCCCTCCAGCCTCCCAAGCATGACATCTCTCTCAAAGGACTGGTCCCTCCTTGCAACATGTCCGAAATATGTCAGATGAAGCTTATGTCAGATCCATGTGACATAAGCAATTATATTTCTTGTGCCATGGCCTCCTCTAAATCGAGCTTGAACTTTTGGCTATCCTATTTATTTATTGTTGTAGCCATTTATAAATTATCTTCATCAACATTTTACTTGCATGTGATATTAATGATATTGTATTATTTCCACATGCTGTTGAATCACCTTTGTTGAGAATGGGAACAAATATGGGTATCTTTCAGTCAGTTGGACAGGCATCTGTCCTCCAAATTTCCTAACATAGACTCATGAACTCATCCCATGGCTGCTTCTACTATATGAAAAATGTCAATTAGTATCCCAATTCTGGGGATTTCTTTTTTTTTTGCCAATGCTTTTAGTGCAGCTTGAATTTCTTCCTTCATTACCATTGGTTATCAATCATTTGGTATACTTCTTGAAATATTTCAGTGTCAGCCAATGCTTTTTGGTACAATGATTTTATGTATTCTTTATATCTTCTACTGATGTTTCCTGGATCATTAAAGATTTTGTTCATAGCATCTCTAAGTACAACATGAGACTTGACTTGGTTTTTCAGTTCTTTTACCTTCAGCTATACCAAGCGAGTTTTTCCTGTTTTGTTCTCCAATTCTACGTCTCTGCACATTCCTTTATAATACTTTGCTTTGTCTTCTTAAGCTGCCCTTTGAAATCTTCTGTTCAGTATTTTTACTTCAGCTTCAGTTCCTACTATTTTGTCTTTTCAACACTCTAGAAAAATTTTCAGGGTCTCTTCTGACATTTATTTTGGAGATTTTTCTTTATCTTCTGTCTTTGTGGTGAACTTCTGCCCTCTTCATTAATGATACCCTTGATATCATCCCACAACTCATCTGGTCTTCGGTCACTGATGTTCCACGCTTCAAACGTTTTCTTAAGATGATTTTTAAATTCAGATGTGATTGACTGAAGATCATATTCTGGTTCTTATGAATTTATTTCCATTTTCCTCAGCCTCAGTTTGAATTTTCAGGTGAGTAATTCATCTGTTTCACAGTCAGCACCTAGTCTTGTTTTTACTGGCGATATTGAGTTTCTACAGTGATTCCTTCCACAA